CCGCCAATATTTCTACTGTACACAAAATTCTACAAGTTTCTAGAACGATAGTGTCTCTGTCGACTGATATCAACACGTAGTCCTATCTACATATATCGAGCGCTACTTTAATCTACCACAAGGCGACACGTAGAATCGTCATCGTTCGTGGAATTTTCCAGCGTTATCGTGCCTCTGTGTTATCGGCGGGGTCTAACGTGGAAATGTATTCGCTGGCTGTGTATACAAAGGGCAGAGAGGAAACCACGAGTTAAAAATGAATATAATTTGTATTATTCCGGCAGTAGCTATATATAGGTATAGATATATATTGTATATGTTGATATGTCTGTGTATACATGTATATAAAGTTTGAACGGCAAAAAGAAAAAGATTGGTCGACTATCTTCGACTTTCAGTCAATGTATGCACAAGATAAGACGTCGGCCATGTTGGATTTTTTAAGACCGATAAAAAGGACTGGATACCAGTGGGAAAGGATGCAACAGAGTTTTCAGACGTACAGGTTGAGTTTTCGGTTGGTGCTTTTTAAATTTTAAGGCTCGTTTCGATGCCGAGTGTCAAAGTTCACGGTATGACGTTCGTCGATGGGAAAGGTGTCCGATAACCAATATGGCCGTCGGCTTCGATAATTATTAATACAAAGAACCCCTATTGCCAGCCGGCCTATAAAGCTATATATACCACTTTAATCCGTAGGCTCTCGGTTTCACCACTGTTTTTCGACCACTTCCGTTACGGAATTAGAAGCGCTAATAAAGGACTTGGGCATATAGAGACTTCGTTGTTTGACCAAGTGTACCCCGGCGGCCATGTTGCTTTTCAGTCCTTTTGACAATAACGAAGAAAAGTTGGAGATTGACTCGCCCTGTATATCACTATGTAGATGGGTATCGTTGTTAATAATTTTTAACGTGTCGTCGTTATTCAAATCCGTTTGAATTTCGCGGCAAAATTCAAATTATTTCTTTTTGTATTGACTCGTCGGGTCGTTTGTTATTTTATTGTTTTTTCGTTTTTTTTTTCAAAAATTAATTACACTCAACGCCCTCTTCGAATGGAGGGGGGGCAATCAAACACAGATGTAAACGCCATCTAAGTAAACGGCTCGCGGAACAGTTTTGGGGATAACGCGACTGTCTTGCTTGAAAAGTCCCAAAAGTGGCAGACTGTCTATTTTTAAGCTCGTTATCGATGAATTAATGTATATCCTGGATGAGGAAAGAAGAAAAGCCTATTAGGTAGCACCTGGGAGATATTGATAAAAGGGAAGACCCAGTCCCACGTGCATTCTGTGCCCGAAACGGACTATAATATTTATACGGCATTTGAATCCCGTTCGAAACTGCTACGCCAGCGCCACCGTATCTCCCGTGGCCATAGTGCCAACTAGCCGTAAGAACAGAAAGACCCGTAAGTCTCGTATCTACTAGCACTCCTCGGATATTAATTCCTGAATTAATCATCGGAAAATTTATTTGGAGTAATAATAATAATTTCATTTATCCTTATCTAACGCTGTCATAAAATTCCTCCTGAATAAATTCGATATTTAAATATTTTTAATATATTTTTTTTCTTTCATATACGTCGTACACGGTTCTTGGTTATGCTTCGGTTATGTACACGGGTTATAATTTGACATGCTGTTTTGAAAAAAAAAAATTTTTTCTCAATTTTTCACCCCATTTTTTTTTCATCGATCGTCGAATCCTTCGGTGTACGCGAACACAGATAATTTCGCTCTTTGAAAATTCAAATGTAACCATTGAGAATTTGGAGCGGAAAAAATCAGTAAGCTCGTACTGAGCAATACGGCGGAATATGGGTTAACCGTTTTACATATTTATAACGAATACGAAATTCACGAATTGGGCCGATAGCTGTATACACATGGGTATATCTTATATGCACATGCGTAATTTCTTCTTGGTGACAGACCCCCCTCTCGCCCCCCTTTTCGGTCCTTCTACAGTCATCCCTGCTGTCATATCTATATCTGTCGCCTCGTATGATAAATTCGAAGCTGGCGGAAGAATTCGTGAAGTGGGATATCGCAGGGTAGATATAGATATAGCGACTGGGCAATAGCGCGCGAAAAATACGTTCCGAAAAATGATATCGAGTACGCAGGTAAATTACTGATAATTAATACGTCACTCTTAAATAACACGTTACGCAACGTAGTTCATAAAGCGCATCCGAGTAATGGTAGGATAATCGAATGCGTATTGAGCCCTAGGGTTATAGGAGCCGGTACGGAGACACGAAGCGGTGCGTTGAGAATTTCTCGTAGAATTTTTCGTAAGGGTAAAATTGATCGTAATATTTTTTTTGAAAAAAGTCAATTTTACGTCATCATCCCTTCGATTGGTTATCCAATTAGAGAAGCTTCTACGAGTTTCCCGTAGCAGAGAGCATAAGCCAACCCCAGCGACGACCTTACGACCCCATAACAGTTCTTGGGTCTTGGGCCTTTTTTGCAAGCCACATGTGAAGCCTCCCTCCTTACACCCCCGTAGTCTCGCAGGTCGCCTCAACGTTCGCTTAGGGTGGTGTTGTGGTCGTGGGAAAGAAGCGAACGACGGCAGATCTTCTGGACTGTCTTTGGGAATTTTCCGTATTTCTTATGGGGCCGAGGGGGTGTTTAAGTTATTTGTCAAAATTCCATATGACCTTTAAGGTACCCGTGTATCTCTTAAGAACGGTACCGGGCAAATATTTCTCGTCGATCCGGTCCAGACGGACGTGACGTATAGGCGGGTGAGGGTCAAAACTTTTCCACCCAGAGATTCTACATGTGCGACGCATCCCCAAGACGTTTGGAACTTTGCCAAGGGCGTAGGATCACTGTTTTTTTTTTCGAGCATTATAAAAACCAAAATTTGAGAAATAAATGAATTTTTAGTATATCGCCAAAAATATATTTCCAAATTTGTTTTTGCAAATTTTCTTTTATAATCACACTTGTCGCTACTCACAGACTGTGTAGATAAATGTTTGATTAGCGTTTGATAATTTTCGAAAATAATGACGTCACTCCTCGGGGATTACGTCATTTGATAAATAGCGAGTCGAGCCGAGTAAATAGATTTAGGCATTGCCACGCCATTGGCTGTCCCAAGGAGATTCGTAGGAGGCAGCACCTGCGGCTTTCAACCCCGGACCCTTCGAGGGTTTAGTGGGGGTGTAGAAGGGCCAGGTCACAAGAAAAAATGAGGGGCTACGAAAAAAAAAGAGATAAAAAGATATATTCAGCCTCTCCCTTCGAAACAGCTATACATATAGGTAGCGAAGGAGTCGTTGAAGTAGGATACGAAGGACGATAAAAGGAAAAGAGCAAGAAGAGAAATGATTGAAACGGGCCCCCATAAGTCCCCCAAAATTTTTGCCTCCTTCTATTCGACACTGCACACATCCCCTATTTCTATGAGACACCTGTGCTCCTCTCGCATTAATCCACGCACACCATAAGTCCCCCCATAGCCGTATTATATATTTATGAATGCCAGGAAGATCGAGCGTAGGGCCCCAAAGCAATGGTCCCGTAACCTTTTACGCTTTTGGTCCTCCCCCTAACCTTGCACCGTCTTATAACGATCTCGTACGCCTCAAAGCCATAGGGGCCTTACCAAAGTTTTTTTTTTTTTTTTTTTTTTTTTTTTTTTTTTTTTTTTTTTCGGGAGAAAGTATACGCGGTTGTATATATATCTGTCATATCCGGTAGTCGGTATCCTTGAATGTATATGAGAAATCCATTTCCGGTCCCAAATTTTTTTTTTTTTTTTTTTTTTTTTTTTTGGTACCTGCAAAGCCCCAAAAATATGACCCAATCATGTGGGAAGATTTTCGGATTTTCCAGCCACCTGTTTTTCAACCTCTGTTTCATTGATCCTCTCGATAAATATTTTCCTCACCGACTGTACCTCTATTTGGCCGAAAACTCACTCGGACCTGTTGCTCCTTCTGGACTTATCGAAATCCATGATAGGCGATTGCCAAAGTACTAGAAAAAGTTGGTATAGGTGTTTTCGAAAATGACCAGCCTCTGGGACGGTTGCCGAATCTCCCGCAAGAGCAAGATTCCCGGTATCCTTGGATAGGATCGTTACCAACTCACCAACGAGAAACCGGTCGCCCCACGATTTCTTCTCGTGGCAGCCTTTGACGTTCATTGGAAATCCTCTTTTGCTTTCGCTCAAAGTTTTGCTATCTCAACTAGTTATACCATATATATATATTATCTATATACCAGTAAACACAGAATCGAGATAATATTATTTTCTCTTATCTTCCCCGCTTCCTCCGTTCCTCATTATCATTCCCATTCCGAGAATCCGAATCTCTCCACGCATCGTATCTACGCCGGCGCTCCAATCGCCGGGAGACAGACTCTTTCTCCGAGCAAGGCAAAAGCACTTTCACCGTAAATTATTTTCACCCGGTATAGACATCGCGGACGAAAGTCTTAAGCCCGGTTTCTAATTTTGTCGTTGACCTTCGAGAAAATTTACCGAACCCGATTCAAAATTCCCGCCAAAAAATATCGCGATCGGTCGTAATAACCTTTCAAAAAAAAAAAAAAAAAAGAAAAATAATATTATCAACCAACGCAGCCAAAGATTTTTCTTCAATGTAATCCTTGATAACGGCTATCAATAGAATGATTGATTGTCCTCTATGCGGTCACAGTAAGCAGATATTTTAAAATCCAACGCTCCTTATCCTACTAATAATAACTGCACGAGAAAACAACGACGTTACGATTTTACATGAGAATACACGGGCGTTATACAATTTAGTACGAAAAATATATATATATATATATATACTCGTAACTCGTATCGGCCGAACAGAGAGAGTCGTATATATCGTATAAGGGACAGAGTGTTTATGGGCCTCTTAAAGAGGGACTTGACTCTCTCGTATTCTCAAAGCCAGTCTTGGACCAGCGGCCATATTGAAGGTCTGACCTTGAAAGGATAAAAAAATCTTCCAAGATGCCTTAAGGCTTAAGGCACTTCTTCCACTCCCTCATCCTTAGTGACCCTCGCGCTCTTTCGTTATCCTTAACTCTTCTTACATATATATATATATATATTTTCTTCTCTCCTTGACTCACTACACTACATGCCTCTATCTATGTACCATGGAACTACTGGACTCCGACTTTATCTTTATCTCTCTCTCTCTCTCCTTTATATATACATTAGTAACATCGGCAATCCACTCGGCGTGTCGTTCTAGACACAAGGGGGTCTCGCAAGTTGTACGTACGTGCACGTACGTATATATATGGGGTTATATCAATTTCTCCGCAATAACAGACCGATTGGAGTCGTACAGCTACCACCAAAATTAAGTTCACTTGGTGATGTGCTTAATAATTTTGTAAAATCGAAAAAAAAAATTTTTGGTACCATTCGTCCATATATTGGATTTGGCTATCCTGACTGGTTAGGAATAGCTAACGATTAGCAGCTATGTTCGTTATACACTTTTTCCCATTTATCCCTACACGCCCCTCGGTCGAGATAAACGAGAATTTGGAACAGCCCGACTCGACCACGTGATTGGTAGGCCATAGTGAAACGTCAGGCAATACCATTGGCTCACGGCGGGTCTGATTCTCTCACTTGGCCCAGGTCAGTAATTATTGGCCTAGGAACTCGTTACGGCTACCAAATTAATGAACTGTTATATTTACGCATGTATGTCTATATATAGGGTGTGTACGGAAAAGTAAAAGGGAAAGGAACTGCGAACGTATGATTTTCTGGATTTTTCAATACGGCACGATTTTCGGAGATTAAATATTGAAAATTTTAAGGAACAGGGCGACATCGTACGAGTGTACTGCTCTGCGCGTAGTCTTGTTGACGAGACGAAAATTCGATCTCACGTTGGAGATTGGAGGCCATGTGAAAAATATTACGTAAAGTTTGTATCGGGAGGTAAATTTACCTTTTCGAACTTTTGACGCAGGTTGGGGATCGCCTTGTGGTAGTGCGTCTCGCTGGAGGTGGGCCCAAAGTCCCTGGGTCTGTTGGAGATTCATTTTTCAAGGGACCTAAGGACCTGCTTCTTCTCTGCTCCTCTTTAGGGCTGTCCAATGTATTCTTTGCCTTTATTTTTCCACTGTGAAAAGATGGACACGCCATTTTGCTCTCAAGGGTCATCCACTGGTCGCCACGTGAGCTGGGTACGGCAGATATCCAATTTCCTTGAGGTCGTCCTTTTGTTTTTTTGAAAAATCACAGTCCCCTTTTTTTTTACTTCTATACCTAGACGCACTCGTACCATAAGTCTGTACGATTTTTTCCTCGACTTCAGGGCTGTACAGAGACCTGGCACCTAGATGCCTGTGTATGTTGACCGGACTCAATGATTTTTTGTACCAAAACAAATGGCTCGTCTGAATAGCAAAAGGTTTCTTACAGTGTAAGATTTTTTATTTTGAATTTTAAAAAATTTTAACCACGTACAAAATCATGCATCACGTACATTGGCCCACGCTCTGTATTCCTATCACGAGATTTGCTCTTGTGGTATTCGAGAGAAGTGGTATCTGCTCTGTGATTATTTTTTTATTCAAATTAACATTTTATAGCGTAAGTACAGTTTTCAGGGGTTCTTATCGATGATACAGCACTTACTAGGAATTATATTTCTCTAGGTAAGCGATATACGAGTTGAGTGAGGGACGTTTGAAAAGGGCGGGAATAAAATGCTCGTGAAACTTCATTACGAATTGTACCACGTGTCGTTTCATAATTGAATAACGTCAGAGTTCCTGGATCGTCGCCTAAAATCGAATAAACAATAAATAAGTAAACACAGATACGGATATAAGACTGAAAAATATACGAAAATATATATATACACTCGGTTCTCTTGCAATACAGAGTATAAACAGCAGCGGAAAACTTCTTAGAGTCGTTGTACCAACGGGGAGAGCGTATAATTTCACGCGGGACTGTACGCTTAGTTGTTTACATTTTAACCAATGCCGGCGTTGCCAAGTCTGCGGACCTGTTGCCTGCGCTGCGTTGAAGATCTTTCCATTAATTATCTAGTTAATGATATACCTACCGAATTAATGTGAGTTCACACGGATTTAACGAAACTTTAAGAAACCGTGTATGAATCCACAATGTCTAACAGCTGAGAGTGTCTTTTGAATATAAAAAAAAAACACGTGAGTCAAGCATACTCGTAAAGACTGTTTAAAGATTTGAATTAACAATACAAAGTGTCGTTTAAATTAGGCGTCATGAAAAAATCATTTATGAATTTCAACTAGTCTGGCGTAGCGTCCTATTATAATATTTGCCGTCTGCTATCCAGAGCCGAGGCGTCCCAACGGGACGAGACTCGAACCGCACATGTTTTGGCTCAACGTGACTGACGATTAGCGTTTGTGTCAGTTTCGCGATGGACTCTCGAACGCCACTATCATATACGCGTAGAATATATCGGGTGTGCAATATATAAAAGTGTTTGGTCTGTTCGTGTTTAGCGTCTGTGCGTTTTAAAGATAACGGATTTATCGTATCGGAGTCTCTCGTTGCGCATGCGCAGCAAGCGCAACTGGAACCAGCCAATACACAGTAGACTCTAGTTTAATCGGAGCGTCGTCAAGTTTGTACGTTTGGGGGGCGCTGGAAAAAATGTAAAAACATGATAAACTCAACGCGCTTGGTTTGAACGCACCAAGAAAATTCCCAGGGGCGCCATTGTACCGACGTGGCGCGTCGTTCGTGCTTACCGGCCAAGATACGGTAGGAGAGGAAGGATGCCAACTCGCCGGTCCTGACTAGTGATTCGGTCATGAGTTACCGGCGTAACGGGTACCTGGAGCGTATCCTAGATGAACACCCTGTAGAGAGGAAAAGCACTGTGATGTACGTACTGTAGCACGAAGCCTAGTACCCCGGCACACAAGCCACTTTGGTCATGGTTGGGTAAGGTCCTTCGGAAATGGGTGAACAGGACACGAGGTATAGTAGGCTGTTACGTGGGAAAAAAAAGGAATGGATAAAAATAGTGGGAGAAGTTTTTTTTCTGTTGTTGTTTCCTACTCTATGACGCTGAGATATAAATGTATATATATATATATGGAAACTATACAACACTATGCGGCCGTTATTATTATTCTTATTATAATACAGTGTCTTGATAATTTGCTCTATAGAGTTTAGCTGTTACTAGATTGTAAGCAATTGTGTGTATGATTTATTTTTATATATTTTATGGAATTTTCTCCGTCACTGGAAAGCTTAACGAGACTTGGGTATCGCTCTCGGTTTTACAGGTTTTTATCAGATTAGTTTTATGTATCTTCTGATATCTTGACTGTCTTTGTGTTTCAGGTAAACGCACTGGGCTCCGGCTTGGTTTTGCTTTCTTGGATTTCTCGAGGATTCTTTTTCTCATGGACAGTTTCAATCCTGCTGCGCTCATCTGTAATATAAGGTACTGAGTTATCTTTTTTGTTAACGTTGCGTAAATATTGTAATTTCTTATCAAAGTTTTTTTTTTGTTTTTATCTTGCAGATCGTATATTTTTTTGTAAAGCTCTTCTGCTTTCTTGAGTTCGTATTCTGCGGGAAGTATGTTTGGTCGATGTGCATTTGTAGGACATCAATTTTATTACGGCAGTGATGATCAGTACGTACAGCGAATATATTTTGTAATTTGTCAAATTTGACGAATTTCACGAAATTACCTTCTTTCGATGGTATATATTTGCAAGTTTGTTTTTTCTATTCGCGCTGGGACACTCGCGGGCTTACTCAATTTTTATTAGTATTCAACGTTCGAGAGTCTAATCAATTACGAAATTTTTTTGTGAAATTCAGGCGAACGCCTCCTCGCGTGTGGCTTTCCCTTTCTCGTCGCGTCACCATTTCAGTGTTGCCAACTAAGCGCTTAACTGATGTTTGCTCAAGATTTTGAATGTAGGAATTAAAAAAAAAAAAAAAGGACAAACCGCCAATTTCGAATTCCGTCAGTTATAGCTACAGGAGACGCATTAAGGGTTTATTTAAGAATTTTCACCTGTACGAATTTGAATAGCTCTCGAGCAAGTATAAAGCCCATAGAAAGAAGTGACTAGTCCCAGGGGTCTCCCTGCCGATGGTACAAAAGAAATTTTCGAAAGTCAAACGTCACTCCTCCAAAAATATCAAGCTAGAGATCCGCTGCGGTTCGACGGATTATCTTGACAGTATTTTTCTTTTTTTTTTTTAAACTCCCCAATACCCTCATCCCTTTCTTTTTTTCTTTCAACATCCCATAACCACCCAACGGTGAACAATAAATTTAGCAAACCCATCAAAGAGAAAAGGCACTAAGACGCCATTTAGTCTCCTTTATACTTAACTATAGCGGATCGTTATGCACGCTTATTGTCAATTTTATATCGTCTCAACACTGAACACGATACTTTTTACCTGCGACCGAACGACAAAAAGTGACAATTGCCAACTGCCAAGGTGACCCATTGACCATTCCAATTGGTCTCAATGACAGCGCACCAATTTAAATTCCTTACGTCATACGACCATTACCAAACCCCCAATTTATCGCACAGCAGAATTTTAAAGAAAAAAATTAATTAATTCACCATTATCGGTATTCCCTTGAAATAATACTCTTCTTCTCCAACAGACACTACATACGGTACGAGCATAACTCACCATAAGAAACCATATGGTTTTTACATTTTTACCGACCCCATGCCGAGGAAAGCAAGTGTAAAGCCACGAAGACACCGCCGAAAGTTTCTACGACTACACAGTGTGCCTTTTTTTCATATAATTTCTTTTCTCACATAGTTACGCACCGGTTGGTACTACGTGTACAAACGTCCACAGGGTATTACGTAAGTCCGTAATCGGTCTACGAATAATATATAATCTACATGACGCGAATGGTCAATAGCCCATATATGTATAGTAACTATACTCTCACTATACCTCAGGGTTCTATAACAACAACATAGCTTAACGTTGATATAGCTAAGTACATTTAGATAACCACTGGAAGCGATAAGAGATTGAAGAATCAATAATAGAAATTATCTACTCATATTTCAACATTGAATTATAAATACTAGTCTAAATTTATATTATTTATTTTTAACGGTCCATTGATTTGTTGTAAAATTTATTATTTATTTTATTTTCTATCTCTCTATCCCCCTCTCTCTTTCTCTCTCGCCCTATCTCTGTATTTGTCTTTGCTATCTTCTTAACACGTACCGTTCTCCAAGCGCATATGACCTATTCCAATACTAAGTTAACACAGAGACGCTTAAATTTTTCCCAGTGTAAACGGGACTCGGGATGGGTCTGGAGTATCTTAGCAAGGGACTAAGACAATACCACTACACGGGATACCCACTAGGAGTAGGTAAAGATGGGACCCCGAGTACACGCCAGTCCTGAGATAGGACCCAAGGTTTGTTTTAGCAGGTCAAAAACCATCCTAACCTGCATATAGGCTATATAGCACAAGCTATAGAACTTCTGGGTTTCTCTTTAAGCGATGCTAAAAGTTATCAGCCACCATCGGGGAAGACCTCGAGCTCTCCTTCGAAGATCTCTTGGCACTTCCCATCTCTTGGATTTTATCTTATGTCAGTTAAGCAGGTAAGCCGTACCCGAGGAACTTGAGGAGTCTCCAGGGGAATTTTCACGAGGGATCATCATCCCCTCTGTGTACCCCGAGTATATTTACAGGGGTAGTTTGTTAAGACGAGACGGAGGTGAAGAGGAAAAAAGATTATTTTTTTAGCAATTTCTCCTTTACACTCGTAATAACCGCGTGGCAGGGTATATGAACAAAGAGACAGCGTCCGGGACTATACGGCTTCCGAAGACGTTTTTCCTCTTTCTTTTCTTTTTTTTCTCTTTCTCTCTCTCTCTCCCAAACAAAACTCTTTTAGCTTTCCTCACGTTCCTTTTGCCTTCGTGACTTCGCCTTGGCCCGGCCACGGTGTTCTCAACCACGACGAACCAACCGGTGCTACACTATACATTTACGATAGACTGTACAGTAGGTAAACTTGAATTTGGTCTTTAAAAAAAAGACCGTATAATCGGTTCCTATCGAAGCATTGGTATATATATCAAGGATACCGTCCAAGGATAGACGTCCTAGATTTAATTCGCAATTGAATTTCCCGGGCCACGTACAGCGCGAAAAAAAATCATGGCTTCCACGTAGTCAGAACGATACGACATTATCCAGCATTATCCGAACGGTGTTCTATCGCACGTTTCTCAAGGTAAGGCATTCTCAGCTAAATTCCACTGTATATCATGTACACTGATAAAACAGGCGAAATTAATTGGTCTGTCCAATGAAAAAAAAAAGGCGAAACTCTTACACGAAGCAAACTACTCGCGACTTGTACATTGCGATTACCATTTCTTTGAGACGTATGACAAAAAATAACTTTTCTTTCTTCACGCCCCAAGGAATGACATTCTCTCTGTGAATTGTTTTCTCCGTTGCGAACCGAGACTTTAGGAAAAACATTGTTTTCCTCTCGCAGTTATTTCCGTACGTAAGTTTTGGCGCCTTTTCAAGCGTCGCGCGAGTCTCTGTTTTAACGAATTTTCCATAAGCAATGTCAGGATATACCAGGATCGCTCGTGATTGGTCGGCTCCGAGCGGGTTTCCATGTACGTTGAGATCTCGAAAAATATGGATATGAAACTTAAGAGGACGTGCGCATGCGATATGTAAAGATATGCGAGACAGCAGCGGATGGAGAGAAGCACAACGGCTATCATGTAGCTTTTGCCTGTTTACGTACCCTCTATCAGTATGCGGTTAATAGGGATGACGTCATTAACGAACAAAAAATAATCCACTTCACGCGCAATGGCGCAGTTTCATAGCACCGACCACCAGCAGCAGCAGCAGCAGCGACAGCGGCAGACAAATAGCGTCTAGCACTGGGAATATATATGTATATACACACACGATAATACATCGATCAGTCATCGACGACTCGAATGGGATTTTAGTTTGGACTCGTTAAACTTATTGAGATGTATTCGAATGCAGTTAACTCATGGGTGAGCGTCTGTCTCGCACCATTAATGTCATTACATGGTTCACTGTTGAATCTTAGTCGAAATGGAGTACTCACGCAGACAGTTTGAGATATCAAATGCCGTGATAACGACCGACGTAAAATTATGGACGACCGTCGATTCAATATCCCACTTTCACGTATACGGATCATCCAGCCGGCTTAGAACATTGCGTGACGCACGTGTTGAGTTTTCATATAGCCAAAGCTCGTGGAGGTTATGATACATGGTTGTGCGTTTTATTTGACAAATTTGGGAATATACTCTTAGGACACGACAGATTTAATCATAAACTATTTAACGTATAGACGGTTCTCTAACGTGGTATCAACGTGTTTTAGATCATTAACCAAAAAGAACACCGTTTCGTTCCTGTTTAATTCATTGTTAGAGAAACATTCGACGTGCACGCGGTATCTCGCGTAGCGTCACTGACTTTTATTTAAGCGGTTGGCACGCCTCGCACTCCATCACGGCGGGAACTTTTATGAATATGGTTCTTTCATGCGGACGGATAGAAAAATAGAGAATAACCAGTGACAGATGAATCGCTTGAAGAGCTCTTAGTGTTTCTTGCCCGATACTCTAGATACTCGCGTAGTCATTCACATGGCGAAGTAACTAGCGGGCGACAGCCTAGTGACAAAATGGACGCCGACACGGCAGATCCTTTAGTTACCGGCAGGCCCTTGCCTCGAGCTGTCGGAAAAGTTTCTAAAGTCAAAGCAGTGTCGTACGTGCGTACAAGATGGCTCCTTGTTGCCTCGCGAGTTGTCTTTGCTTTTTTCTACGGACTGTACGCTTCTCGGAATTACACGGATCTCGTACGAGAGGTTAGTGTGTGAGTCTGGACCATTGGTTATCTCCGACAGTGTTTCTCAGGCATCAGACGAACTTTTCGTACGCTTTACCCAATACTTTTCTCATTGTAGTATTCCATACTCGTTTAGATATTAACATCCTCTGCTGCGTACAGTAGCCACGTATTTTTTCCTTTTTACTCAATATCTCTTGTCTATTTTATTTTCCTTATACGATTTCATGTACTCTGTTCCGTATCTATTTATTCGTCTTATGACAAACGTCGCGATTTCGGGGGATATTCAATTGTCGGCTTTTTCGAACCCGCCATTAATATTTTCGTAGTGTCGACAACTTCGGTTGGATACCACTTTGTTATCAAGAGTGGCAGCGTATTTTCTTTGTTCCGTTATCAGTGGACAGGGGTGGTACGTTACGGGGTACAGGCTCTTGCAATATGATAGTAAATAGATACGGTCTTGACTGCGATCACTTTGACACGAGCGTGATAGCACTTATTCCCTCATCGAAATTCTCGTGTCTCTTTATGTATGTATCTTTCAATCGAATTCAGAAGATCACTGGATGATGCAGGTAACTGTGGACCAAGCCGAAGGTCAGTTTAGCAACAGTGACTTTGTTTTATTAGCATGATGACAGTTAGTAACTCGGTCTCACAGTCCCCTAGTCAGTATCTTCTAAACAATTACTATATATATTAACATACCGTAGATATAAATCTTTTTAACGAAAGAGAGAGAGACAGAGAGACAAACAAGGGATCGGCCTTGAGGAGAGATTTTCAAAGTATAGACAGAGTCATAGATATGTAATCACCAAATTCCGTTTATTATTCCACATAATTTGGCCGTTACGTAAGTCGTGCAGACAAGCTTGTAAATTAAAAGGAGAAAAAATGGAGATAAAGAGAGAGTGAGCGAAGACACGTAGCTACCATTACGATTGACGCGTCACGTGTCAGGCGACTCGTTCGTTTCGTACCTATGCGCCATAGATATCTAATTGCGCGACGGACTAATTGCCGACACTAATGAAATTTAGACGAAGTCGTACCAGTCGTGCCCTTGTTTAACTCGTCTGCCCTTTTCTGGCGCGATAGCGTAGATGCAAATCGTAGTCAACACGAATCAATCGAAAAGTGTCTTCTCCCGGTAACGTCCTTCGAAGTTTGTCTATACGCTTTCTAAATGGACGCGCGTAAATCCAGCCTGGCGTCTTTCGGTTGCCGCGCATGCGCACACGTTCAATTAAGTCAAAGACTAAAGGCGGCCATTGAACCTGTAGCCCTTTCGATGACCCGGGTGACTTTTGAACGATCCTTTTTTCTATTTCAAATTTTCTTTCACGCCTTGTATTATATTTATTCAACGGAGCAGAAAAACAATGGAGAGCACTGTTCGCGCGTGTTATCCCCCGCACGATTTTTTAAAGTGAATACATCAATTGCAGTGCTGTGACAATTTAGCGGGGCCGTTACACTGCAATGTAATGCAGTCTAGACGCTTATTGGGATTTACGTAATTATTTTTTTGGTTCAATAGCGTCCTCCACGTCTCGCTCCTTCTCGAGTTGTTTATCGTGGCGTCAGCAGTGTTGCCGGGATAAAAATAAGTTCGCGAATCGATGAACCGCGGTATCTTGGCTCTTACGTTGGCGGCAGTGACACTCGGGGTTATCGTTAAATTAATTTGTGAAATTAAAAGAAATACGAGTGCTGCGAGAGCTGGACTGCCATTGTCTGCGAGTTGTGACGGGTTGTTGACTTTTTTTTTCTCTCTCTCATTACAAATTCCTTATAATAGACGGTAGCATTCTGTAATCGTTATTGCGAATCGCCCGATGTTTCTGTCGAGGTTCGCGTAAACAGTGCGTATCTGGCTTGTTTTTTTTTCTTTTTTTTTTTCGTAATCTCTTACCCCTACCCTACCTCTTGGACGTCTCGAGAGATAAGAAGCGGTAGTAGCGTCGTCGCTGCTTGGGAGCGGCAATAACGAGGACGAAGGAACAAGAAGCAAATTCAAATGCTCGAATGACATCCGTGACGAGTGAACTTTGACTCGAGGGGTGACAAATTTTTTTTTTTTACCGAAATATAGAAACGAGAGAAAAGTTTGCTTTATCGAAATTCACTTTACGCCAGTCATCTATCTACGGGTAATACCAGTGTGAATTACAAGGATGACGTTGCGATATGGGAT